TGATCACATAATTATTATTTTTTTTAATCATAAGCACTACCGGTTACATTATGTGGAAAAAAGAACCACAAATTCACCTTAATTTAGACAAAAACTTGTTTTTAATAACTTTTTCCAAGAAAAATACTATCTTTAACAGACTGAAAATATATGAAGGCTCTGAAGAGGCTAAATAATGCAAAAAGTCTAAATAAATCCTCTCAACATTGCCAAAAAATTCAAGTATAAAACTTAACATTAACATAAAACAGGTTCCATTACAATAAACAATCCTGAGTTACTGAATGAAAACTTCCTGATAGCATGGCGGCTAGCTGATTACTGCTAGTTCTGATTGGCTGTTTCTGACTGAGCGGAGTAATTATGCAGAACAGGAAGAAGATCGATTATTTTTTCAGAGATTATCTGTCTCATGTTAGGACAGCGAAAGTTTTAATACGTATGTAAAATGTATTTTTTTAAGTTAGATGCTGCAGCTTTAAACAGGTTCGGTGTGAGAGTCACTACCAGGTGGAGCAGAAGCGAAGCTCCGTCTGTGAAATATTACTACCTGTAGCGTAGCAGCGGTTCAACAGGAGAGCAGAACCAGCGTCTTACATCGCAGCTCGAAGACTTAAATAATTTTGCAGGTTATTTGTTTAGCTTTCTGACCGTCATGCTAACCCGGGTGAGTGTTTGTAGCTGTGCGCTGCTTTACCTGCTATCTGATCGCTCTATATGTCTTTTACTGCAGTGAGCCTCGATGTAGCCAAACTCCGTCAAGTATGGCATTGTTTTTATGCCATATTAGATTCGTCGTGTTGATGCATTTTGACATGCTTCACCCCACGTGCTTCAATTTTACGCCGCAACACACAAACTTCCCCATTCACTCAGTGTGTAATAGTTCCACACGACATTGCTTAGGATTTGTTGCTACACGTTTGCACAATGTGAAGGAAAGAGGAGACCAGCTGCACAGGCAGGCTGCGAAATGAGATGCAGGTGATCAGTTTGTGTGATCGGCAACAAGAGACCATGATCGGCGATCACCAATCATACACTTTCTCACGGAAATTGGCCGATTATGATCGGTGGCCGATCAATCGGCACACCTCTAGTCAGAACTTATATGACTGGGAAAACAAAAAGGAAAAAGAAAAAAATCAATGCCTATGTCTAGTTATTTATCTAACCAAACCAAATGTTTGTCGGTCAGATTTACATACAGCAGATGAATATGAAAAAATAGAAATTTTATCTTGCTGGCTCACAACAGACAGAGCAGGAAAACAATGACGGTGAAGCCAACGCTCCAGCCACTCACCACGCCAAGCTTCCTGATCATGGCTGAGATCCAGCTGAGGTCAACGCTTTTGTAGATCACGGCCACGAACACAGAATGAGGGTCTGTGTCTGCCCAGTGGAGGGGCGTGCCCTCAGGATAACTCATTCTGATGCTGGTTCGATTCCCCACGTCGCCCGTGTGCTTTCCCAGAGGGCCGCTGTTCAACCTGAAAGACACAGAGACAGGAGAAGAAAATCAAAATATTGCTTAAAACAGGAGCAAGACTGGAGTTTGTTACCATTAGAGGCGCAACTAATGATTATTTGATTGGTCAATTATTCTGACGATTAATCAGACGAAAAAATTTGCTAATTTTTTATTTAACCACTGAAGCTTTATTTATACAATATTTATAACACATTAAAAGATACAGCTAAAGTATTTAATTTCTTTTTGAAATAATAAATATTTTATTGCCTAAAATGCAATACTATAGTATTCCATTAGGGTACACTTGATCATTTGATACTTCTAACATCAATGTCAAAAGGTATGCTTTTCAACTTAACATCATCACAATGCAGCAAAAGTAGCTTAAACTTTTTTTTTTACAACTTTTATTTAAAGTTTTTTTCCAAGTCTTAAATGCAAAATGTTTTTGATTTAATTACTGCTCTGTGTGTTTTCAGCAAATGGCCTTTTTTTTAATCTGTATTCTCCAGATAATGAATGGATTACTAAACAGTTATTTGCAATAATCGATTAATCACAATTAATTGTTTCAGCCCTAGCTGTTGAGAGACAAAAACCAGGAGGTCTCAGTCCGAGTGCAGTTTCAGTCACTCTGCATGTTGTCAAGTCTCCTGCAGAACTACCAGAAGCGAAAGCGAAGCCTGACCTGATTATGGTGTGGAAACGGTCGATGTGCTGACCGAGCTCCAGGCCCTTCAGCACGCCCCCGTTCCCCACCACCACACAGCGGCGACACTTCTCAGAAGCCTCCTCTGGTCCCACGTCAGGGTTGGCCGCTGGCAGCTGGAAGCACAGAGAGCTGATCAGGTCTGATGTTCTGAGAGACTTTGTTGCTTTAACCAGAATCCACTGAGGTTGCAGACAGCAAAACCCGAGATGACCCAATCAACCAACAGCAGAGACGCTCATGTTGGTTGTTTGGTTTCTTGTGAGTTTTTGCTGTTTAATGTGCCTGTCCTCCTCAGTGGTTAACATTTTCACGAGAGATATGCCAATCTGATATTAATATCTGTATTTGCATTGATATTGAAAAAATAAAAACAAACTCTAAACTAGGTATTGGTGACCTGACTGATCAATAAGAGCAGATCTATTCAGTCTAATTCTATCCTGTCTTGTTTTATTTATTTTAGCATTATATCTAGAATCCCTGATTGTATTTTCTGAACCATTTCTAAAAAGGTTTGTTGCAGTTCATTTGTTACATGTCTGACCTATTTTTTATTTTCTTTAATCGTTTCAGTTTCTTTATCATTTATTTTTACATTGGCTGTTCTACTCCTAATTGAACTGACTGAACAAATTAAAGTTGTCTTGTTTTTACAAGTTGACCAAGCTTCTGAAGCCATTGGTGTATTTAAGTGAGCTGCACTTGTGCAGATTTAGCAAGTAAATGTATAATTTAGTACATTTATGTCTGCGTTTCTTTAAAAAAGGAAATGTTTTCAGTCAATTCAACATGGGTTTTCTGTATCAGCTGATGCTAATGCTCAGATATCTGTAGCTTCCTTTTTTAGGAAGTGCACTTTGTGAACAGAGATTAAATCTTACTACACAACTTCACATATTGCACTAACAACTGAAACCGTGCAAGTTGGAGTGTGGCTCTTCTGAGTTAACAGTAAAACCTGTCTTGGTGGTATTTGTATTCACCAGCGTCAGCAGGTTCTCGACTTTGCCTTTAAGCCCTTTGAAGCCAAACGGCGGCGGGTAAAGGAGGAGCCGGTCAGGGAGCGTCTGGTCCTTCCACAGGAAGGGCTGGACGGCGCCGCTGGCAGACGGGAACAAAGCGAGCAGCTTCTCTCTGCTGCGTCTGGGGCGACACCTGCCCTCCAAGACTCGGTGCACGTTCTCATGCACCAGCTGCAGGGCGAGACAAAGACAGGCAAACAAATAGTCCATCATTACAACCTGTGCTGTGCACGCATCTGCTTTGTTGTTACATAACCCACAGAATATTGCAGCATAAGACACCTCCAGGGAGGTGTCATGTGTCGGAAGGATAAACAATATGCTCCATGTGCTTTGCAGTCCTGTAACATCACGCTTTGCATTTGTTTGTTTTCTTACAACTCGAACCGTAACAAACCCGGAACGTCTATCTGACTTGATTTATTTTGTGTTTGTTGTGCTTTCCACACCTTTAAATTTCACATACCAGTAAAACATGAGGTCACGAGCTCAAGCTAATGGTTTTCCATTGGAATGTAGAAATGTGAAGGAGTGGTGAGTGAAGTTTAAAAGGAGCTGAACTGGTTTTGGCTCTGTGTATTTTATGACATTTCAAATGAAGATGCAGTTCTGTTGACCTTTTATTAACGTCTCTCTTCATGTCAACACCTCCATTGTTTCAGCAGATTACAGAACAATTAATAGATATACAGACAAGTGTCATTTAGTCAAGAGTTAACCGTCACCCAACACCAGCTACAAACAATAACTTCCACTTCACCTTCAAACAGAAATCAAATCAAAAACCAAATAGTTAAAGGGGTACAGGCAGGGGAAGTGTCATGTATTCTCCAGCACAGTCAATTAACTACT